AGTGGCACATGGCAGAGGGGCAACAGTTCATGGTGGCAGAAAGCATCAAGGGATTTAGCAGAGCCTCTCTGCCCCTTACCTTATCCAGCCTGCTGGGATTAGGGCAGTGCCAAACCAATCAGTGGGCTGATTAAGTAATCATAATATCCTTAATCTTAATCTAAAACCCTGTGATTGCATGGCTTTGGGGGGACATCAAGGCACAAACCATAACATGTAATGCACCTTAGTCACCCTCTCTCCACCCTCTTGCCACACCCTCCTCCTGGTAGCATATGCTTTGTGGGCGTTTCAGTGTGTGTAACACAATTTCATCATATTCCTGGCCCCCGTTACCCCTACTTCATCCCCTTGTCCTTTCCCTCCTTCCCTCCCTTTTGTCTAAGAGTCTCAACCCTAGTTTGCTGCCAGATGATTTGATTCCACATAGCGGGGAGAACATGCAGAATTTGACTTTCTGAGTCTGATAACTTTTGCATAGCTTTATGATCTTCAGATCCATCCATTTTTCTGGAATCCGTAAGATTTTGTTCTATTTCATGGCTGAATCACACTCCATTGCATGTATAAACGCCACATCTTCTTTATCCATTCATCTGCTGACGGGCACATTGGCTACTTCCAAGTTGTGGCTACTGAATGTTGTGTTACGATAAATACAGAATACAGGTGTTCCTGTGGAATCCTGACCTTAAATCTTTCTCATATATAACAAGAAGTGTTATAGCCGGATTATACATGACAGCCCAGTGTTTAGTGAATGATCTCCACACTGGTTTCCATAGAAGCTGCAATGACTTAAACTCCCACCAAGTGTGAAGTGTTCCTTCTGGCCCTGCGTGGTTTCCTTCTGAATGTGGGTCCCACCCACTGCGTGGCATCAGACCCAGCCTTAGCTGCTATGGTCCGAGAGCCAAGGGCAGCTCCTGCAGATGGGTGGGAGGGAACCAAGCTCCTCATGGCTTCTCCTCTTCAAGCACTTCACTCCTCATAGACAACTCCAGACTTCTCAGGAGCACACAGGGCACATTTTTAATAGGTGGCAAACACAGCCCAAACCAGGTGCAATTTCACAATTCTGAGTTAGCTAAATGGTATGATTTCCAACCTCGTCAGTGACTGAGCTTCTCTGAGAAGAGCCATGGGAAGAGGGTCAGCCCTAACAGAGGGGAAGGGGAACCCTGCGGTCATGGATGTGAGACCATGACCTCCATGGGAGCCCACATTTCCCTGCACATACTGAGGCTGATCCTCAGCCCGAGGGCAGTGCGAGACTCTGAGCTGGCTGCTTCAGACAGCATCTCCAGGGAGCACGGTGTCTCCTATGGGTCCCTCTCTCTGATGCACTCAGTTCTTCCCAGACTTCATCTCTTCCGAGCCCCCTCCTGAGATGACCGTCCTTCACCCACCACTTCCATTTCTGTCCTATTACTAAAATCTGGGAGGAAAAAGTGCCTGCAGTACAGGATAATGACGACTTAAAACTGAATACCCTCCAGAGCCCTGGATTGTTTGCCAGTGTCTGGACCAGGGTCTCACCCTGGGCATCAACTGTGCCACGCTCACCACTCCCTGAGCCCTTTCTCTGTGTCCTGGGTCTCCTCCACTCCCTGCCAACACACATACCATCTCCCAGGCTCCAATTTCCTAATTCCTGTACCTGTTTTTTTAAAGAATCCTTAGTAGGTCTTCTGTTGCAATGCTGTAACCAAATGTACAGAACTCTTGTTTTGAAAACCTATAGAGCTATTGTTGCTTTTTGCTATTGTTGTCGTTTTCCTTTTGTAGTTGTTTTCAGGTTTGTTTGCATCTTGATTTTTCTGTTTTTTCTTTTTTCTCTTTAAAATAAAAAAAAATGTATTATAGATATTGAGGATTGGGAAGAAACTTCAAAAAAAAAAAGACAAACTACGATAGGGGAAAGGAAGAATGGGTAAAAGGCAAAATATATGTATGTACAAGATAGTTAAGGTAATTACCCAGATAACCTCTGTTTGTTCCTTACAAAGAATATTTTGTGGCAATGTTGTTTAGACAAGATATCAGGCCATGTCCTGTACTCTGAATAACTACTACAAGACACCAATACGCAATGTATGAAGTATTGTAACCGTCCTACTATCCTGCTTTGAAACTCATTTTCACTGTTTTTCTAAAATAAAGTAAAAATTAAAAAAAGAATAGAAGTCCAATTCTGCCATCTGCAATGCCCAAGAGTATGGTCCCCACCCTGGCTGTGTCTGGTGAGGGCTACCCTGCTGCATGCTAACGTGGCAGAGGACGTCTCAGAGAAAACATGGCCGCCCATGCTGCTATCCTTAGGAAGCCACCAATACCAGCGGGGTCCCCATCCTCCCCACCTCATTTAACCTTAAGGATCTGCCAAGGACTCTGCCTTCAACTACCTTAGCATATGAATTTAGCTGTTAACTTTCCAATACAATCAGAGCACAACCTGACCCTCTGACACTCCAAGTTCTGCTTCTAACCTGCAACTGTGTCCAAACCCTGAGATTTTCTATTCAGAAAAAAACTGTACACTTAGGTCTTCAACTCTCAGTGGCTTAAAACACTTGACAAGCTTTGAAATGTTTTTGTCTTTAAATAATCAAACTGCTGGGCAGGATTCTTCCACTGAATAGTAGTTGACTGCTGGAAACAGGTTGATAGTTGTTATTATACATTCAAACTTCAAAATCGTGCTCTTCAGATTTATGTCAAATCTTAGAATGTTTCCATCCATATTTCTCCCCGCTAATGAAATTTGATTACTTTATTCATCTAAACTATCTCTAGTTGTGGTATACACATCCCGTTCCAATTTCATGTTCCATGTGACTCAGTTTCCCTTCACTATAACAAACACCAGAGATAATCAACTTATAAAGAAAAAGGGTTTATTTGGGCTCATACTTTTGGAAGTTTCAGTCTGTGGTCAGATGGCCCTGCTACTTTTGATATATCACAGTGGGAGCTTGGCACTGGTGGGGAAATGTTCACTTTATGGCCAGAGAGCAAAAGAGAAAAAAGAGGAAGAGGAGGGGCTCCCAGAATTCCTTCAAGGCCAGCCCCTGTGACCAGCAGGCCTCCCACTCCTCACCTCTGAAGTTTCCTCTGCTCTCCCCATTAGCACCAAACTGGGGACAAGCTTTTAACATGTGGGCCTTGGGAGCAAATGTGAGTTCCAAACTCTAGCATGTTGGCAATTTCTTGAGGAATTTTGTAGTTTTTAAATTTATATTCTACCCAAAGATCCTTAAACATGATCACTTCCAGGTGGAGATAATGATGCAGGAATAATCAGTGACAGCTATTGCCATCTTGAAATGCTTAATAATTTTATCTAGAAGTTGCATTTTGTCAGGGCAGTTCCTCAGGACAGGGAGTTTGAGCCTGAACTGGGGACACACAGGCCACACACAAGTTCACTGCTGTTCCTACAGGGCTCACAATTTTCTGTTAGCACGGAGCACCCTGTGGACCCAAGAGTGAAGGGCCCCCAAGACCCACGGTGAACAGAAGGTCAGTTGGTCATGTCCACAAATGAACAACTTATTTGCTGGCAGCCCAGGAGGGGCTAAACTTGACCCTAGAACCTGATCTTGTCTTAAATGCAGGGAGAGGGCAGTGGAGTCTCGAGAAACCTGCAGGAAACTTGTTACATCCTTTCTTACCCACGTTACTTCTTCGTCCTTTCAAACTTTCTTTTAGTCAAGTCTAGGGTGCAGAGTATTGGCAGAATACGTGCATAGGAAGCAGTGCAATAAACACAGCTGAGTTTGTTCCGTGCAGCATTTCCATCGTGCAGATAAAAAGAAAATGCATATTCACGTGGAAGGTTAAGAATTAGGAATTGCGGACTTTCTGTGCCTCTGCATGATGTAAATATATCACAATTGAAAGATGGATGGAAAAGTTAATCCGTAATAATTTAAATTTCAAATTTTTCTTTACTTAGAATATTAACTTTTTAATACACTATGGAAAGTTAGAGGAAAACAGAAGTCCATTCTTTCGTTCCTGGGAATTAACTCAGGGCCTTCCCACCGAACTATATCCCCAGTTCCCCTTCTACATTTAATTTGAGACTGGGTCTGGCTAAATCACTAAATAGACCACACTAGGCTAGAAGACGTAATCTTTCTGCCGTAGCCTTCCAGAGTGTTGCTGAGGTTACAGGAATGCTATAACGCCCGACTATTTTATTACCTTTAGTGGCACCTTCCACAGATTTTTTAACAAGGGCCCTGTAGTTTAAATGTGCTGTGGCTCCCACAGATTACACAGCCAGACATGCAGCTGAGAAGGAATCAAAGCCTCCTGCCTGGTGATGGGCATTATATACTCTATAACATTCGGTCTGGAGTGAGCCAGAGAGGATAAGGGGACTCGATCCTGCTGGTGCTGAGCTCTCGGATTTCAGAAGTTTGAGCAGAAGAGTAACGCGATCTGATCTGTGGTGCAGGAAAAGTCACTTTGGCTGCAAGGCGGAAGCAGTGGGCGGGCGTCAAAAAAGCATTCGTGTCCTCCGCCAGACTTCCCTCTAGGCACAAGGCGCGGGGGTGGCCCCAGGCCCGTAAGACGACGCTGGAGGCTGCCCGGGCAGGAGGGGTGGAGTCCCCTCTGCACGCGCATCAGGATGTGGGCGGGAAGCCCACGCGGTCGGTATCTCAGGACCCCCGGGGCTGGTTCCGGGCAGGGAGTGGCGCAGCCCTACACTTCATGACTCTAGGAAACATCTCACTCTGCCTCCACAGCAGGTTTTATTACTGAAAACGTACTATTCTCATATTATCCCGGGTTATGCGCACCCTCGTACCAGCGGCCATGACTCCAGCACATCCGTTCCTGGTGAGACCCACGCCGGAAGCCCACGTGTCCTCCAGGGCAGCAAGAGCGCTGTCCAGAGCGCCAACGCCCCTTCCGGGCCCCGTGACGTCAAAGGACGCGCCGGAACTGACGGTACGCCTGCGCAGCTGCGCTCAGTGGCGAGGATGGTTTCTACGTCATCGCGGGCGCGACGCCCCGAGAGACGGTCTGGAGTCTGGCGGTCTGGGAGGTGCGGCGGTGAGACCGGCCGGGAAGATGCCAGTGGCGGTGATGGCGGAAAGTGCCTTCAGTTTCAGAAAGTTGCTGGATCAGTGCGAGAACCAGGAGCTCGAGGTACCCATTTGTGTCGCTCTGGGAGAAACTTCGCGGCGCTGCCAGCCCCCGGGTGGCGCCGGTTTCTAGGGTAACGGGGCCGGGGGCCACGGGCGTGGAGCGTGCAGGGAGCGGGAGCTGGAGGTGGGGAGCCCCGGCCCAGTGGCCCGCTCAGACCAGGCCGGTTTTTCCGAGCTCGCCCTGAGGTTTTTGTTGGTTGTATTTGTAAGCCCGAAGTCTGTGCATCTTTACTCCAGCACCTACTAATGTACTTCTCCATCAATTAGGCTTGACATTTACTGGCCGTTGTCCGAGCCGGAGCAGGCAGAACTGTGGATTTTACTAGGGACCTTTGTGCAGCCAGACGCCCCTAACTCTGTAGAGAACAAGAAAGATTCCCCCCCCCCCCTTTGCTAAGAGAACCCTTGTTAATCTTGTAATGTAATCAAGCGAGCTTAACATTTTGTTTGTGGTAAGATAGCGGAAAGAGTATATTAGGCAGCTGTTAAAGTTTCTTAGACACTTAAACAATCACAACGTTAGTATAGTTGAGACAACGGCTAGAAGCAGAAGCTTGCTAACAGACACTACAGATTTTTTAAATGGATTAAAATTGCACGAGGAGAGAGATGTCTAATTCAGCTGTGGTGTTTTCCCCCTTATGTAGATATTTAGCGTGCTTGATATAGTAGGCAGAAACGTAATGTTTTAATAATGTGTTGAGAGTTTGTTTCCTAAAATAGTAAAATTATGTAAGTACAAATTTGAGAACTAGGAAAGGAACGTTTTAAATACTCTTGTATATATAACGAAATTGAGAGGTAAAAATATTAACAGCTGATGACAAATCTAAATTTAGTACTGAGGTTTTAATGTTTGGAGTTTCTCTAAGCTGTTGTTATTATCTAAAGTAGTATATAAGACGGACTTTTAAAATTACTGTTAATAAATGGTTGTGTCAATGAAAGAAAAAGAATAAACAGCTTTTTCTCTTATCGTTGGCCTTCCAGGCTCCTGGAGGAATTGCTACACCCCCAGTGTATGGTCAGCTCCTAGCACTGTATTTGCTGCACAATGACATGTGAGTACCTTCCCACCTAAGGCTTGGAGCAGCAGCTTCTCAGAGTTACACAGAAAGCATTATGATGTGAAGCAGATCACAAAGCATAGGATCCATGAGTTGTTTTTGTTGTGATAACTGTTATATCTATTTCCTGTTACAATGAATTATGGTTACACTTTAAAATGTATTTGTTTTACATACACTTCCTTTAAGAATTTCAGTTTGACATGAGAGACTACAGTATCAGTAATTTAGAATCTTTTCATCATCTCAATTTACTTATAATCAATAGCTGAAAAGCTGAAAGGGAAGATTGAGAAAGCCAAGACAGATTTATTACTCAGATTTATGAGCTTTTTTAAAAGCTTTTTTTTTTTTTTTTTTCTATTCATGTTTCTTTGGAAAAGAAAAGAAATAATTGGGTTAAAGGAGTCTCCTGCAGATCTAGGTCTTATCAATGTTCCTGATAAAATTTTGTTTTAAATTCTTTTTGGTATCTTTTTAATAGTTACTCTTGAGATTTTTTTTATACATGTACCATAAATTGTTTCATTTTTGTAATCCTCTTATCACATGTTTGTTGCAGTCTCTCAGAAACTGACCTGTTGGAAGTTTTTAGGGTGCAGTACCTACTGGGAGGAAAGATCTTTAAAAGAGGGAATCAGAATATCCAGTGAATGTTTACATTTACGAATTTAGTACAATAAAGGACATTGCTGTTTCTCCCCTTCACTGTCCCTTTCTGCAGCAGTTCTGGAAAGCCTTTTTCATGAGTATGTATACAAAGTTTTGTTAAAAAATATGATGATGGCTGCTGCCTCCTGCCATCCAGGGCAAAGGCAGCTTATAAAATCAGGCACACCCTCCTCCATCTTACTCACCAGAGCTGCCACCGGCTGACTGTGTGACTTCTGGCTCTGCCCCCAAATCAAGATGACCATGAAAGAGAAACATTTTGCATTGATTCAAGACATCAAGGCTGCAGTGGCAGCACTGCTGCAGACACCTGTGGCAGAGGACTCAAAACAGCTTCAGAAAGTGGCAGGAGTGGGGGATAAGTGAGTTCAGAGCAAGGGGGGATTCTGACAGGTTCATTAATGGCAGTGGGTCTTTTACTGTAATATCTTGTAATATAACCATTCACCATATATTTTTATATCTTACCGTATATTTTTATATTGCTGCTTGCAATAATACATTTGTTTTATGCATCTGAGTAAAGTCTGTGGGCAATTTGGTATAAATCTATGTGTTTAATGTACTAGTTCCTTAATTTGGGATCTGGATCATTAATTTTAAGAATCCAGTAAAAAATAGCAGGATGACTGATAAATATATTCCACGTCTTTTTACCTGGAAAACCCTTGGAGTTTTCGGAGAATAAACACAGATAAAACAAACTTTTACTCTCTGTCATCAATTGTATTTCAGAGTTTATTTCTACATTTTTGTATTTGGACCTAGTAATTTTAACTATTCACTGACATTGTTTTCTAATTGACTGTTCTTTATATAAATTAGGAATAATGCAAGATATCTTTGGAAAAGGATACCCCCTGCTATAAAGTCTGTAAGTGTTCCTTCAGTGCAGTTTTTGCTTTAATATAGTAGTAATGGTCACGAATATGGCAGCCTCTCAAACATTCCCCTGTTTTCTATGTCAAAGAAATCATCATTAAACTGATATTTACATCTTTTGATTTTTCTAACCAGAAGGCTCAGTTTCTGTGGGATGGTACTGAAATGTATACCCACCTCATACTGGTCTGATTTCGTGAGATATGTCTTACAAGCTTGGCTCCACCCCCAACTTAATTCTGAAATATTTTTCAACTACTTTCGCCTGCTTTGTTGTAATAAAAATGTGTGTCGGATGTACAGATATTTTATATTACTGCTTGCAGCATGTAAAAAGTTTTGACAATAGATGAAGTAACTGCATCTCTTAAAAGCAATGTTGGATTACCTCCCTAACAAGTTTTATTGTATCACCCATGGTATTTGTCCTTGATAAATTGCAGAATGGATACCTTCAAAGGCAGTAATGTTTCTTGCAGGCAAATTCAGAACTTGGAGGAATTTGGTCAGTAGGACAGAGGATCTGGCAGAGAGATTTCCCTGGTATCTATACGACCATCAATGCTCACCAGTGGTCTGAGACAGTGCAGCCAATCATGGATGCGCTCAGAGGTAGTGTCTGTGTGGTCAGGAGTTACGCTGGGCTAGACCTGTTCCCAGAGTGCTGACTATTGCATGATTCTGTGTGAGTTTTAACACATTCCTGCCAGCTTCGATCACTGGAGGTACATGTATGATTGCCCCATGCCACCCTGTGGTCCTGAAGAGAAGCTGGTGAAAGCACCATTTTCACAGGACATCAGCACGGGCTACGGCTGTAGCCATCTTACCCTGAGCTTGCACCCCGAGATGAGGGCCTAGTGTGACTGGGGCAGCGGTGGGCAGCTGCCCACAGCAGCTGTGGGTCCAAGCCAGCTGGGGCAGCAAGTGTAAGAAGTGTGTTTCTCTTTGGCTGCCAATATTTGAGCCTCTCTGAGCGTGCCGGGCGTGTACGCGTGTCTGTACACACAGACATCTTTGAGTGGTTTGGTCTTGTAAGGGAGTGTGATGTAACCCTGTCCCTGACATGCCTGCTTTGTTGTCCCCCCCACCTCCACTGCCACAAAAGATGCAACGAGGCGGCGCGCCTTCGCTCTGGTCTCTCAAGCGTACACCTCCATCATCGCCGATGACTTTGCAGCTTTTGTTGGGCTTCCTGTAGAAGAGGCCGTCAAAGGTACTGTGGACTTTTTACTGTCAAGGAAGCAAAAGATAAAAAAGGTGCAAATGACAGGTGCACAGTGCCTTTTCTCAAGCTCCCCTAACTAGATGCTTTGGAAGTCAGGTTGTTTGCTTTTTGACAAGGTGACCTGCAGTACTGCACGGCACCCCTAGGAGTTTTTAGACAGTGGGGTCCCCCTCCCCCAAATCAGGGATGTGTAGTCCTGCGACAGGCAGATTCCTGGTGTCTGCGCCGCTGGTTAGCAAAGTGCACCTTCACTGACCCCGCTGCTCGAGTTCACAGGCCTTATCTCCCCTTACGTGGTACGGGGAGTCTCGTCTCCATGTCCCTGTTCAGCCCCATTTTTGTACACCACTCCTGATTCACACCCCAGGAGCCTGTGTGCCCCCTCCCCACTCTAGACTGTTCCTTTTCCAGGTGCATTGTGTTAGGATAGTGACATTGTGATCCTCTATCTATCATGCACCACAACTTGTTCTCTAATTCTTAGGTCCTCCCCTAATTTGAGGTACATAAGAGAATGCAGAAATTGAAGTTTTCTTTGGGGGTGGGGGGCATTGGGCCTGGTGTGTGCCATGGATTCGCTCTGCCAGTGAGCCTCAGCCCAGCCCCGAAGGCTGCCATGAGGCCGCGCTGTTCCTTCCTGCTGCGCTACTTTATGGGAAGACTTACCCTGTCAGTGATTACTGCAACCCTTTAGAGCAAAGTGACCCTTTGTGGGTTCGGGAGTAGTTTAAAACAAGTTTGTGTGTTCTCCGTCATATGTTCCAGTGCTGTCCCTGTACCTTTCTAGCAGAAATACCGACAGGCTGAACTAACGCCGTCACGTCTCCTGTGTGAGTAACACTGTGGACAGACGGTGGGGCTCCTGTGTTAATATTATTCTTTCCTGTTCCCTTTTGTGAAACCCCCATTTCTAGGTATCTTGGAACAAGGCTGGCAAGCGGACTCCACCACAAGAATGGTGCTACCCAGGAAGCCAGGTAGGGGGCGCTGTGTATCCATGTCTGTGGCAGGCTCTGCATCTGAATGTGTTACTGTACTAACACAGTGAGGTGACTCACATTGTAAATACGCAGAATGCGGACATTTAGGGTGGAAATGCAAGACCCTGGTGTGTTGGGCTTCATGGCCCGTATTAATTTTCGCCGTATGTTAATCTTCCATTTTATCTCTGGAGCCACCTCTTCTTGAGATCTGAACTGTTGGCCTTTGAAGATTGAATGCATAGTTTTTCTCCGTCCCGCGTGTGTGAGCCATGCAGACACTGCTCCTGTGACTCACTGTCACGGCATAGCTGTCTTTGCCTTTGCTCAGGGCCTGAAGCCCCGGGCTTGTCCCAGTTTTTCAAATCAGATTTCCCCGCTGTGTAGGGCAGGGTACCCTGGAACTCAGAATCTGCATGTGACTTAGCTCCTGCCTTGCCCGTGAAAGTGAGTGGGGGGCTCATCGCAGCTCGCTGATTTCTCTGCCTCCTGCTTGCCATGTGTCCCTTTTGTGGTGGCTCTTCAGAGTCCACGGCATCCACACCCACAAAGGCTGTGTGTCTCCCGGTGTCTGTCACCTCCTCTCTATGCCGCTGCTGTGCTCAGCCCTTGAGGGTGTGCAGGGCAGCAGAATGTGGGTCTGGCCGTGCCGCACACCACGGGAAGACTCTGATGAGACAGGAGCTGGGAACTAGAGAGCCCGAGTATCTGTCGCAATAGAAGTCACTGCGTTCTGTGAAAGGCCTTGCAAAGGCTTATGTAAATGGTGCTTTTCTTTTAGTTGCAGGAGCCCTGGATGTTTCGCTTAACAGAATTATTCCCTTATCAGGTATATATTTTCATTTTTAAAGTGTCCTGTTGTTTCTGACTTCTGTAACGTGTATTTAGTAAGTTTATAGTAACACATCCAGTTGCAGGACTGGAACAAGGCTACCCCGTAGCTCACTGGAAGGCAGCACTCTCCGGTACCTGTGTACCGTCTCATAGGGATGTTGCCAGAGCCAGGCCCCCTAAGAGCAGGCTGTGCCCAAGGATGCCGTGGTGACCCAGTGCTAGAGTGCGACTCCTGAGGCTGCCTGCCTGGCACCTAAGCTTTTCTCACTGATGGTGTTCCCTTCTCTGAAAGGGAGCTGACACGTGGGGAGCGCTCAGGAGTGCTTCCCAGGGTTAATGTCCCAAAGGTGGGAACTTTTCCAGGAAGAGCTGTTGTGTCCTAAGAGACTTTTCCCATTCGGAGGGTTTTGAACTTTCATACAGGGTACTTCTGTGACAGTGTCAACATGCTTTATGTGCTGTTAGGGGAAACCAAGCTCTTAAAAGTAGACTGTTTGTTTCAAAAATGCCCAAGAGATATGAATTGTCTAAAATCAGGTAGAGCTAAGGCATGACCTTGTTGTTCAAGTTAAACGTTAAGGAGCTGGGCATTGTCGCGGTGGCATCTAACCTGAAGTTCTCTGTTTAACCTGCAGAGCCTGCCCCAGTTCCACCGATCCCCAACGAGCAGCAGTTAGCCAGGCTGACCGATTACGTGGCTTTCCTTGAAAACTGACATCATCCAGGACCACCTTCAGAATCCTGTACACTGACAAAGAGAGAAATGTAAAATTTTTATTTTCAATTTATTGGATGGATAAAGCACCTCAGCATTCCTTATGGAATATGTGATAAAATGCATATATAATATAAAGTATATTATATATATTTTGTCCTTAAGCATTACGCTAAATAGTTGGGGCAATTCTCATTTTGTAATACGTAACAATTTGGCGCTGTCAGTATTACGCAGGTAGTTTACATTCCCTAGCGACTTAGGAACACGCTCTCCTGCCCCAGCTCGCGTCGCACTCCCATCCATGCCCAAATGAGTAGTGGTGGCGCTGCCTCTGGGGCTGAGGGAGGACTGTCCTGGGCAGGACCTGAACTGCCGGGAGTATGAGCCACCCTTGGGAGAGCAGGCCCTCTTTATCCCTGCCTCCTGAGAATCGCTAAGATAGAACGCTGAAATGCAGCTGAGGAACAAACGGACATTTCCTGAGTGAACCAGGTTGTTAGAGTTACAGTTTTTTCCAGTAGTATGAGTCTATCCATTGGAGAGCTTGCGGTGACCCTGCATCCTAGGGAGTTCATGAGACGTGTTCAGCTCTGCCTTCCCAGAGGCGGGGACAGTGGGGTGCGGAATGCATTGTGTGGGGAAGGAAGCTGCTGAGCTTGAGGGCACTCTGTACAGCTCTCCTGCAGCCTGCTGGTGGCCTCTGTTTCAAGTTCTGCCTTGGAAGAAACGCTGAACAAGTCTTCATCCTTTGTGTGACAGCCCTCGGAATGTTTGAAGTTACTGTATTTTCAGATTACAATACCCCGTAGATCATTTATTCTGCATTTGTTCAATAAATATTTAATTGAATTTTTGAACCATCATCTGAGGTGTCTAGAAATTTTGCTTCTTTGTCTTTTTGTGGATGCTTTCTAGTTTGTCTCTGCCTCTCATAATTAGGAAATTTCTTAATCAAAAATGATCTCTATCATGAGTCTGGGCAGTGATACATAATTTACATTTTCATTCTTTTTATGGCTATTTCAGTTTTTTTAACATACGGAAATGTCTTCTGTTTCATTGACCTCTGATAAGTAAAACTGCATGAACTTACTTTACTTGTGAAGAGATGAGAAAAGAGAAGCCAGAGGGTCAGTAGCAAGAGCACTGTGCAGCCGTGAGGGAGGTGGAGACCTCTGGGTGCCGGCATGGAGGGACCTGAGCGAGGATGGAATGATGGGGTGTCCCTGTCTCGACTCCACACGGACCCAGAGGATGGCTGCAGCTGTAATGTGCACACCTCTGCCTCCGTCCCAGAAAGCCACCGTTGGAGGATAAACCAGAGACTTGCATCACGGTGGCTCTTTAGAGGGAGAAGACTGAGTATGTGGAGAAGAGAGAAGTTTCAACTACTGAATAGGGTTTCGTAGTTTATTTTACAAAATGATCTTGCATCATCAAAAAAAATTCTAGAATAAAGTTAGTGATTGTGTAACATTTTTAGGAGTAATCTTAACTTTGACCTTGAGTCTTTATGTGATATATTTATAAACCGTACATATATCTTCTGTATCCCACCTGAAAACACCTAATTATAACTCAGAAATAACATACACCACTAATACTGTTTGTGGTATCTAAATTCCTTTGTTAGGTAAAAGGAGTGAGAAATTACTTGTGAATGCTTGGTCCAGGGCAGTAGATCTACTAGGTGATGAAGCTTGAAAGATCTGGGCTTCTGTCAAAAGTTTGTAGAGAAGTCGGCTTGGGGTCTCACTGGGCAGAAGTGAGACGGTTTGAGCATGGATTACTATTCTATCAGTTTAGCTGTTTAATTTCCCCAGGATGACCCACCTCACCCTTGCGCAGGAAGGGGAGGTGAGCGCTTCATTTCACCTCCTCACCTACAGGGCGGTCTGTAGGATAACGCATCAGCCAGCGAGGAGCTGAACCCGAAAGGCAGCCAGGCGGCTAACAATGGGGAGCTCTAGAGTGTTAGGTGAAAAACAGCACTTGCAGTCCCCAGGGAGCAGGCTCTGAGACCATGGACACAACAAGTCTGAACCTTAGACATGGCCAGTATACCCTTTAGCCGCTCTTCTCTGGCTGGTTAAGAAGCAAGCGGCTGCCCACTAGGGTAGACAGCTCATGTCCTGCTGTGGGTCCCCTGTGGTGCAGAGACCCTTGGCTGCCCATCCCCTGACCTCCCTGGACAGTAGCTGGTGTTAGCCAAGCATCCACGTGTGGGATGCAGTGCCCTCCCCAACTAGCCCAGCTTCTGACCAGCTTTTACAGCTGCATCCAAGGTGGGTGAGCATCCTTTGGAGGGGCCAGACCCTTCCTGCAGTCAAACGACGGTGCCCATGTGAAGTTTCTGCTGAGTTGAAGCACTGAGGCTCAGGGTTGTGCTGCAGATTTGCTTAAAGCAGGAAGGAGTAAAGGAGCTGAGATGGAGGAGAGGAGAGACCCATTCAGAGTCATCAGCTCTCGAGAGCACGTGCTGGTTCTGCACAGCGTGAGCCTGGCTGTGCCTGGGTAGCACTCCCTGCTGAGGCAGCACTCCCTGCTGGGACTTCAGCAGCCTGGGGGCTTTGGGCACCCTCCGAGGTTGGGGGACCTGAGCTGGAACTGCCACTGTGCTTCAAGACCCCTGGTGAGAGCACAAGCTGCTTGGGGTAGGAGACCAGAACTTCAAAGCCTTTGCAGAACATCCTGGTTTTCCTCCCACGTTGCGGGGTCTAGGGCTTCTTTAAACACAAAAGGCTAACGTTGTGGGTGCCTCTAAGTTTGAACTGGATGCAGAACATAGTAAAGATGTTCTCACAGTGACAGCACAGTGGAGCTGAGTGGGAAAGGATGTTACAGATGTGACCTACAGCACCGGCCTATAATCTGTCATTAGAAGCCAAGGAGGAATAGGAAAGGAGGTACTGGCCTAGAATTTTCTAAAACTGATGAAACCCCACAGAATGTCAGTGCAAAGAAAATCACACCTGTGTTCATCACAGAAAAGCTAATGAAAACCAGTGACACAGAATACATGAAAAGCACTGGACCAGGCTGTGGGCAAATAAAAATGACATCTTTAGTGCTGAAAGAACAAAAATTATGATCCAGACCCCCAGAGGTCTGTGTTTCAGTCTCCCTGTGTTATATTTAAAAGTTGGAGAAAGACCACAACACTAGCACAGCTTTGGTAATGTTAAGCAAAGTGGACTTCAAGGCATGACCAAATTTTAGAAAACTATATTTAGTGAAAAGTTTCCACTCCTTGTACTGGTTTCCTTTGCTGCTGTAACAAATTACCACAAAATTAATAGTTTAAACCATCATTGAGGCGGCAGCTCCCAGTTCTGCACTCAAATCCAAAGTGGATCTCGCTTGGTTACCATCATCCTGTCACCAAAAATATAGTCAAATAAGCCAGTAAGACCGAAAGTGGAGACTTTAAAAAGATGAACAAAATCCCTACGGAGATAATGAGAAAATGACTTTATAGGATATTGTGAACAATTCTATGCCCTCAAAGGTGAAATTTTTAATTAAATGGACAAATTCTTGAAAGATTCAGCTTATCAGAATGAAAGATGGGTCTGAACACTTTCCTGATGAGGAGAGTATTTGGTTGTTGACATCTTTCCCACAAAGACACCAAACCTGTAAAGGATTTTCTGGAAAGTTTGTGCATGCTTTTAAGAAAGAAACAGCAATAATTTTACAAATTTTTCCATATAATATAATACGGTAGGACAATCGCCAGTTGATTTAAAGGAGGATGTTACAAGAAAATTACAAACCAGTACGTTTAAGAACAAAGATACAGAAATTTACAATAAAATATTAACATGAAATCCAGGAACATTTCAAAAGATTATACGATGACCAGGTACAACTAGGGTTGAGAAAGCAGTAAAACTTGCATTAGAAAGTAAATTACATTAGAAAATCAGTAAGAATCAGTTGCCGCTTTTACAGAACAATGGAGAAGAATCATACAGTGGTGAGGTCCAAGAAAAGCACTGGATAAAATTCCATACATGATAAAAACTCATTCGATAAGAATAAAAGAGAATGCCAGTCTTTTCTAATAATAATAGTCCGGGGAAGCTGCTCGCGATGTCCTGTATAATGGTGGATTGTGGAAAGCTTCCCCTGATACCAAGATCAAGACAAGAAGGCCTGCTATCACTGCCTGCCTTCAGAGTTGTCCTGAGATTCTCCTAGTCAGTGCACTAAGTCAGAACAATACAGGAAGAGCCTGCCATAGAAGGAATTGCAGATTTTTGCAGAGATATCTGCTGAGTCTTTGACTACTAATATGATGATGTGTAGAGTGAAATCCCATGAAGCAGGCAAGAATGACAGCCCAGGAGAGGACAGTTACTAGAAAACTATAAAGAACTACTAACAAAGAGCTAGAGTCATCCAAGATCTTTCCATCCAGAGTGGAAAGACATCTCTGAATAAATGGGGCAACCACTAGGACTCCAGGAAGGTCACGCCTCAGTAGTGGAACCAGATCAGCCTAAAATATAGGCGATTATAGATCTTTGGTACAAGAACTTATAAAAGCTTCCAAACAGCCAAAACCACAAGTTACACAACTGGCCACCAGGAAAAGTGCAAAGGTTTAAATATATATTTCAAAATATCCCATTCAAAACATTTATGGTAATTTTCCTCAAATAAAGACATGACAGTGTGTCCCTGTCTACCTCATTCACTGGATCTGGCACTATGCAACTTCTGGCTCTTCCCCAAAGTCAAAGTGACTACGAAAGGTCAGTGTTTAGAATCAATGCAGGACATCAAGGCAGCTATCACAGCACAGCTAAAGACACTCAGGAAAGAAGGTTCCAGAGCTGCTTCAGAAAATGCCAAGAATGATGAGTGGGTTTGAAGTGAGGAGGAGTATTATACTTTGAGGATGATTCATAGTAATGTGTCCCTTCTGTAAGAAAAGAAATTAAAATTGAAACATTCATACTTTTCAATTGCATCTCATACATGAAGACACAGATGACTTGACCAGTACTAACATCTTGTGTGTCTGGTGGACATTCCATAGAATATTTTGCCCCCCAAAATGAAAATACTAACAGTCACACTCAGGACCACAAAGCAAGTTTCAAAATATTTACAAGGTTTGAAATCATACATTATGATGTTCTGTGACCATTACAGGAATTTCAGAGTCAAACAGCCTGAGCTATTTGGAAAGTATCCCAAAATTCATCAACATACTTCAGCAAATGTACTTCATCTAAATAACATAGTTCAAAAAAAATTTAGAAATCAGCAAATACTTAGAAGTAAATGAGAGTCATACAAGGAATTAATTTATGAAATTAAAGGACTCATATAGGGAAATTTCTATTTTTAAATGCTTACAAAGAATCTAAAGTCAGTCCTTTTAAGCTTCTACCTTAAGAACTTAGAAAAAGCAAGCCCTAGATAAGTAAAAAAGAAGATAAAAATGAATAAAGTAAAAACTGAAAAAATAATAGAAAAAATCAGTGAAACCAAAATCTATTTCTTTAAAAGGAAGCAGAGCTCCTTGGGGGAATTGCTGACTCCAGTTCTGGAAGTAGAGAACATCTTGGAGCACATACCAGAGACTAAGGAAGCAGCAAAGGACAGCACACATGCTGAGGGTCAGGGAGCCAGAGAGGACACCCAAATAAATGACAAGCGTCAGGAATCTCCACCTGTGACACTGAGTATCCATGACTCCATACTGAGAAACAAAGGGAAAAGTGGGATCAAACACAGTCCCAAATTATGGGTGCAGAATGGATGATAGACTTAGGGTGTCAACTTTGGAAAGTGCTGCAGTCGTATGCAGGGTGTTCCCAAAATATGTTAATTGTTGTACCCCAAAACA